CAGCAGGTGCAAGAGGAGGAGGAGTGGGGAATCAAACCCAGTTCTCCCAGATTAGAGTCCATGCACTTATCCACTACACCAAACTGGCAAAAGAAGAAGAAGAAAAAAAGAATAGGAGGAGATTGGATTTATACCACACGCCCTTCACTACCCAAGGAAGTCTCAGAGCGGCTTACAGACTCCTTTCCCTCCGCACAACAGACACCCTGGGAGGCAGGCGGGGCTGAGAGAGCTCTGACAGGAACTGCCCTTTTTCAAGGACAGCTCTTGTTAGAACTACGGCTTGCCCAAGGCCATCCAGCAGCTGCAAATAGAAGAGTGGGGAATCAAACCCGGTTCTCCCAGATTAGAGTCCATGCACTTAACCACGACACCAAACTGGCTCTGAAGAAGAGATTGGGTTTATACCACCCTTCACTACCTGAAGGAGTCTCAGAGCAGCTTACAGACACCTTTCCCTTCCCCTCCCCACAACAGACACCCCCTGTGAGGTAGGCGGGGCTGAGAGAGCTCTTGACAGAAACGGCTCTTTTTCAAGGACAGCTCTGACAGAACTATGCCTTGCCCAAGGTCATCCAGCAGGTGCAAGTGGAGGAGCGGGGAATCAAACCCTGTTTTCCCAGGTTAGAGTCCGCACACTTAACCACTGCACCAAACTGGCTCTGAAGAAGAGATTGGATTTATACCCCGCCCTTCACTACCTAAAGGTGTCTCCGGGGCGCCGCCCTTCACTACCTAAAGGTGTCTCAGGGCGGCTGACAGACTCCTTTCCCTTCCCCTCCCCACATCAGACTCACCCTGTGAGGGGGGGGCTGGGAGAGCTCTTGACAGAAATGGCTCTTTTTCAAGAACAGCTCTAGTCAGAACTACGGCTTGCCCAAGGTCATCCAGCAGGTGCAAGTGGAGGAGGAGTGGGGAATCAAACTCGGTTCTCCCAGGTTAGAGTCCGCATGCACTTCACCACTACGCCAAACTGGCTCTTTGCATATGGTATCCAGACTTCAGTTGGGGGTAAGTAGGGGTAACATCCTGCTGCCCCACGAGGTCTTTCGTCTTCTGGTGGAACTGGGGCTGGAGTGTTGAGTTTGGACGTGGGGAGGCAGGTTCCAATGCACAGTCGGTGCATTAATGGCGGGCGGGGGGGGGGGGTGTTATTTGTTTGGTGTTGTGGTTACAAGTTCCTATCTATACTTTGTGGCTAATAGCCGCTGATGGACCTCTGCTCCATATAAGAACATAAGAGAGAAGCCACAGTCCTTAGTGGCCAAAAATACCAGGTGCCATCAGGAGGTCCATCAGTGGGGCCTGGACACTAGGAGCCCTCCCACTGTTGCCCCCCCTCAAGCACCAAGAATACAGAGCATCCCTTGCCCCAGACCGAGGGTTCCTATCTCTACCTTTGGGCTCATAGCCGCTGATGGACCTCTGCTCCATATGCTTATCTTATTCCCTCTTGAAGCCGTCCATGCCTGTAGCCACTGCCACCTCCTGTTGGCCGTGAATTCCATGTGCTAATCACTCTGGGTGATTAACCATTCTTCTGACCTAGAATGATGAACTCATAGAGTTGGAAGGGGCCTCCAGGGTCATCTAGTCCAACCCCCTGCACAATGCAGGACATTCACAAATACCTCCCCATCACACCCCCAGTGACCGCTGTTCCATGCCCAGAAGAAGACAAAAAATCTCCAGGATCCCCGGACAAACTGGAGAAAATTGCTTCCTAGCTCCAAAGTGGCGATCGGCATTTCCCTGGGCGCGTAAGAAAGGGCCACGACGAGTACTAAGCACTGAGGCAGCCCTCCCTGCCCCTCCCTCTCATGATCTGCCCAAGTTCACAGAATCATCACATGATATGGTTCTGATGGTAGTATTTGCCCCATTGCGAGGGCTGCATATGTACTGATCGGATACACAAAGGTGTTCCCAGTGGGTCAAACCTGGGGAAGCCCAGACACCACCACATGTGGGGAAACGCAGTGTGCAGCTAGGCCCCCACTTGAAGGTGATTATGCACCTGGAAACTGGCTGCTGCGCTGTGGTCTCTGACCAGCCAGAAAGGCGAAGGGGGGGGGCTCCAAGTCCCACAGCAAAGAAGCTTGTCCAGTGGGAACTGAAAATGCTGTTCCCAGGGCAGTGACCTCTGTCCCATAAGCAGCGGCTTCCCCTCAGCTGATGAGCAGGCCACCAAACAGGACAAGCATGTGATGCACGGTTCCTGAAAAGGCTGAGCGCCACATCTCCTGATGTGGCCACCACCAATTAGAGTCACCTCTGAGGTCTGGGTGGGAGTTTAGGTGCAGAGCATGGAAAAGAGCACTTCCAGTCAGTGTTCCCACTAAGCTGAGTTAGTTTGAGCTAGCTTACAGTTTTTTAGCCTCTGGCTCACACATCTTTGTCTTAGCTCAGGAAGGATGGGGCTCCAGAGCAAACGGATTTACCCAGTGGCCCAGTCGCTGGCTCACAACTTTAATGCCCGTAGCTCACAAAGTAGAATTTTTGCTCACAGGACTCCACAGCTTAGAGGGAGCACTGGTTGCCAGCGTCTCCCATCCCGCTCACTCACAGCTTTAATGCCAGTAGCTCGCAAAGTTTGCTTGCAAGACCCCACAGCTTAGAGCATTGCTTCCAGTGTGCAGTTTTTAATTTATTTTATACCTTTGTGTATTTTATAGAACAAAGTTGGAGTCCAGTGGCACCTTTAAGGCCAACGAAGTTGGTGCACATCAAAGCTCATACCTTGAATAAAACTTTGTTGGTCTTAAAGGTGCCACACTGGGCCCGAAACTTTGTTCTGTTGCATCAGACCCACACAGCAACCCCACCTGATTCTATCTTTATGTATTTTATCTCTGTTGTAAGCTGCTTTGAACTCCGTATGGAAGAAAGGCAGCAAATAAACATTTTAAGTAAATAAAGCCTGTGGTGTCATGAACATAACTAGGAGCATTGATGGCACAGGGTCTTAGAACAGAGTACATATATCCAGATATGACTTACAACCTCCACTGGATAATGGGGGGCCCCCCAAAACCTTTTCTTGTGCACAGATAGCTCTCCAGCCTCAAACAGCTCCTTGCCCACAATACTACAATATCTAATTTGAACATGGACCCTGGTACTGGAGCTTGCAATAAACCCAGATGCCAACTTCGCTGCCACAGACACCCAGACAATGCAATCACTGGACCTAACAACATCAACTACTCCATCTCAGGCTTATTCATGTGCTCATCATCTAA